AAAAAAAAAAAAAAAAAAAAAAGAAGGAAGATAAAAGATATAATCAAAAGGCTATATTTCAGGTAACTGGGAGATGATGGAAGTATTTTGCAAAACAAGGACAGGAGGAAGGCCTGCTTCCCTAAATTGTAGCATTGCAGAGATCCATGTGATAGAAAACTGAGAACACAGGTAGCTGAAGCATGAAAATGTAGTCAATGAAACTAGGATGAAGTCTAGACTTGGAGCAACTGGAGACAGAGGTCTCATAAATTCCTAAAAATGTCTTAGATAGGAAGTCCCTGATCTGATGCATACAAGACATTTGTAACCTGTGCAAGGTGTCTCCAAGTCAGAATAGCCTTAAAGGATTTTGCTTTCCCCTGTGATCCTGCCATCCAGCCCCTCTGGCTCTTCTGGCTCTCAAAGAGAAGAGAATTGTCGCTAGGTAGGTAACCACTGGCTTTGCAATCCAATGCCTGTTCCCAGAGAATTGTCACTAGGTAGGTAACCACTGGCTTTGCAATCTAGTGCCTGTTCCCCGCTGCTCTGAACTACCTGTGGGGCTCTGACCCCATAAACAGGCCAGCCTCTGCCTGCTTAACCGTGATCCCACTCCGTGTGCCATCAGGGGCTGCTGTTTTGTGTGTGTCTGATCTGCTCCTTGAGCAGCAGGATGGTATAACGATTAAGGACTACCAGGGTTTAAATCCCAACTCCATCACTCACCTCATAACGTTTAAATCCTGATTCTGTCACTGACCTCACAATGTTTACATAACCTCTCTGTGTTACAGTTTCCTTAGCTGAAAAGAGTGGATAAAATCAAGACCTATCTCAGAGAGTTGTTGTGAAGATTAATGAATTCAATATTTCAATATAGGTAAAAAGCTTGAAGCAGTGCCTGGCACTGCCTATCTACGTGTTAGGTATCTCTTACTAACCACCTCTCCAGGCCCCATGATGTGTTCCCTGATTATCTAAGACCAGCATTTTTGTTTATTTAAAGATGGGGTCTAGCTCTGTCACCCAGGCTCGAGTGCAGTGGTGACATCATAGCTCACTGCAGCCTGGTACTCCTGGGCTTAGGCAATCTTTCCACCTCAGCCTCCTGAGTAGCAGGGACTACAGATGAACGCCACCAGGCCTGGCTAATTTTTTAATTGTTTGTAGAGTTAGGGTTTCACTCTGTTTCCCAGATTGGTCTCAAACACCTGGCTTCAAGCAATCCTCCTGCCTTGGCCTCCCAAGCCACTGGATTCACGGACATAAGCCACTACACCCAGCCCAAGAACAGCTTTTGATCTTTGTTCTACCTCTTGCCCCTGCCCCTGCCAATATCTTACCTCTGACAATTTGGGAGATTAAAGAAAGAGGAGAGGCCTAAGCAAGATTTCTAATGAAGCACTCTTGGCAGTGGAGAGCAGAGTGTTCAATCATTAAATCTGCATAAACACCAGGACAGAGCTATAGAATCTGCAGAAAGGATAGTAACCAATTGCCCAGTTTCACACGTCAGACAGAGGCACCCTGGCCTGTTTATGAACCAAGGTGCCCTGTATCCAGGACTCATAAAGAGTCTCGGGTTTTTGAGAGTAACAAACAATCTCGGGCTTTATGATCTGCCTGGCCACAGACAGCTGAATGCTGGCTGGAGACTCAGCTGTGCAGTGGTTTTCCTTCAGAGTAGATAATCCCTGCCAGCAGAGATGAGGAGCACCCCTGGGAGGAGACCAATTGCTGACATAGACTCATGGCTGCTGGCCAAAGGTCTCAACCACTCTTGGAGCAGTCTGGAGTGGGCAGACACCACTGGATAATGGACTAGCTTGTGCTCTGCATGGTCAGTCTCCTTTCCAGGCCCCCTTCCACTCTCCGATCCACTCCCAGCCTCAGAACTGTTCTGTGACAAAAGAGATCACATCTGTGACCCACAGAGAATTGATTTGGAAAGACTTTGAAAAGACTTGTGTCCACGTGTGTGTGCATGTGCATGTGCGTACATGCATGCATGTGTACGAACTGTATATAGGTGAAACCTAGAAATGATCCACTCAGTTTCAGCAAACATCTATGCTCAAGGCCCGGTGCTGCCATTAGACTTCACACCTACTTACCCTCAATAAGTTATGGTCCCATGGAAGAAACCAATGCAGAAGATATAACAACAAGCATGGAGCACTATTGGCAGAGTGAGGGGAACATGGCCAAAGAACAGTTCCTGGAAGTGACACCTAAATGATAAACTGTTGACATTGCTAATTTTCTGCCTCTGTCTCCTGTCAGACTGCAAACCCTTTGATAGCAAGAAACAAGTTCTGTTTAACTTTGTACTCCCATGGGGCTGTTTCTACAGTATTGGCTGGATTGATTTATCCCACACAGCCATAAGCAATTTGGCTTGTATCCCAAGGCTAGGATCTTAGAGCAGCTTTTGAAGGCCAGAAATAACCCTTTTTGCCCCCTTCTTCCCTACTAGTGTGCTTGGGAATGGGCCCTGCAGCCTGGGCTGTGTCATGCACTCTCTCTACCCTGAGTCTGAGCAACCATCGTGGCGGGTGAGGCAACTCCAAGGGGTTTTTCTGGACCATTGATGAGAGAGAGGTGAGGCGAGAGGGTGGAAGGGTAGAATGTACAATGTACCTATGTTTATAAAAGAAAACACTGGTCAACTTCTTTATTTAAAGCCCCAACTCCACAGCATTTCTCTCTCGTGTAAGGGTTTTTTGACAGAAAAGTTTGGAGTTGGAGCTGGGCTGAGCCCACCAAAAGGGCTGGATCAGGAGTCGGAGTGGGCCTTCCTACTAGTCATGGGCAGAAAGGATGACTGTGTGCCATCTGAGGACCTTGATGACTGAGTACAGATTTCCCAATTAGAAGACTAGGTCTCTTTTAGGTACTAAGTGGTTACTGCTCTCAGGGCATTAAATCGGGTGTGATAGGAAAGAGGAGAGCCATGAGCATCAAGGAAGGAAATCAACCGGCCTGCAGATCTCACTTTCTGGCAGATTCCCTGGATTTGCTTTCCAGCTTGGGACTGACAGTCCAACTCCACCCATAACTTTCCCTTCTGTCCTCTGTGTCTGCTAAGGTTTATTATCGTTTTCATCTCTGTGTTTCCCTACATTGTGCTTCTTTAGCTCCACTACTGCTTTTCATTTCAGCTACATATGCTCTGCTATTTAACCATATTCATTGCAGGTTTTCATGTCCAGACACTTTATAAATCTTCCTGGTCTTTTTAGTAGTCTCTTGTTTCCTTGCTCATGTTTTCAACTTTCTCTTTTATTTCTTTGCACTTTTTTTTGAGATGGGGTCTTACCCTGTCACCTAGGCTACAGTACAGTAGTGCAATCACAGCTCACTGCAGCCTCAATCTCTCCAGCTGAAGCTATCCTCCCATCTCAGCCTCCCAACTGGACTACAGGTGCATATCGCCACACCAGATAATTTTGTGTGTGTGTTTTTTTTTAGAGACAGGATTTCATCATGTTGCCCAGGCTGGTCTCAAACTCCTAAACTCCAGCAATCCACCTTCCTCAGCCTAGCAAAGTGCCGAGATTACAGATGTGAGCCACTGCGCCTGGTCTTCTTTGCATATTTTAAATATAGTTATTTATATTCCCTATGAAGGCATCCAATAACTGAGGTCACTAGGAGTTTCGTTCTTCCACGTGTTTTTTACTAGCTCTTGTCCATAGAGCTTTTCCTTCATTTGTTTTGTAATTTTGTATAAATAGCTCTTTTCTCCCTGTCTTGATCTCACACCTGCATTGGAACATTTCCAATCTAGAATAGTTTAAGTTAACTTCTGGTCCAAGCAGGTAGTATGATTTCATATCCATGTATGTAGTATGAAAACAGAATTATGATTGTGTGTTCTCAAAAAAGCCTCTTTTTCTGCACCCAGAGTCGAGACAAAGAAATTACCTTACCTCTCTTTGTCAGTAGGTGTTGTTTTTCTCTCTCACCTTTCACTGAAGTGGCAGGCATTTGAGTTTCTCAGGCAAATGCATGGGTCTCTGTTCCTAATCTGTGCCTCACTAAAGCCAAGGCCTACCAGCCTCCTCCCTGAGCAGGGGTCACTGAACTGAGGACTGGGTGTCCCGGGAGGTGAGCCCACTCAGGGAACCTGTCATCAATGCCTTTGCCCACTTCTCCATCTTGTGGCTCCCTCCCTCTTCACTTTGGTACTTGGAGGCTCCCTGTATTTTCTTATGAGCCTGATTATGCATTTAAAGGATGTGTTTGGCGTTTTAATCAGAATCTGCAGGTGTGTGATTAACAGGAGAGATCTTCATAATGTTCAGGCCACCATGCCACCAGCAGTGGAACTGCTTGGAGAGACCCTTGAAGAGTGAGTGGGACTGACCAGATGCATAGAGATCAAGGCCAGAGAGAGGCACAGGGGCCTGGGGCAGCAGGACCAGGGCACATGGAAGGACAGAGTATGAGCTGGAGTAGAGGTGGAGCTGAGGAAAGAGACTAGAGGCAGGACAGCTCGGCAGGTTTTCTAAGGAATATGGACTTCTACTCTACAGTAGAAACTCCTTAGAGAGAAGGTCTGTGTTTTTCTTGCCCTTCTCACCTTTTCCCCTAACCTCAACTTAACACAGTGATTGCACAAAATGCTCATTAAGGGTTTTAAATGAGAGAGTTGAAATCATGACTCACAGGCCAGCAAATTTACATGTTTTTAGGGATGAAACAAGTGACTGCAAACAGGGCAGGTACATGAGAAGCCTGCTGTAGGCACAGAGGGGTCATCTCTGGCTGGCAGGAAGGTGAGGGAGGCCTCTGCCCTCTGGTCCTGGCTGACTCTGCCTCAGCAAGACATCACTTGCTTCTGTCTCCTCATCCTTAACGTGACAGAGTAAATTAACTGTAAGGCCCCGTCCAGGTCTGAAGCTGTGTAATTCTACAAAAATGAAAATGAAAATTATACCAATAATCCCATTGTAAAATCCCAAAAAAAAGTCAAGAGACTAGCAGAAAGGTAGGTAGGTGATGGGATATACTGGACAGAGCCTGGATCATGAGGTCCCCATGTAGTGCTTGTACTACATAGATGTTTCCTCTTGAACTATTTTAAAGGTGTGGAAAAAGCCAAAGCAATGCCCTCTCCACGGATACTAAAGACTCACCTGTCCACTCAGCTGCTGCCACCATCTTTCTGGGAAAGCAACTGCAAGGTAAGACAGCAACAGCTTCCTGTGACAGAAGGGAGAGTAAGCCCACCAGAGCTAGTCCTGCAGACCCCAACGTAGAACATCCATCACCTTTGCCTCTCCACTGTCTCGGATGCTTACCAGCAAAGAGAAAATGTGAAGTTCTACACTTAGCAGGACATGCACCTGAACAGTTTCAAAGAGGATATGAAGGCAGGAGCCAGACTGAATTTTTGGAGGGAACTAAAGACACAGGGAGGTAGTGAGTGCAGGTAGTGTGGCTGTGAAATGAAGCAGGGAAGATGGTGGTCCCAGGCTGTAGGCCATGGGGAGGCCCCTAATAAACCAGGGAGGGAAGAATGAGAGGAAAAGAGCTAAAGATCTCCCCAAAGGGTAAACAGATGAACAGGCAGAGCAATGCTCTTGAGGACACCTGGCCTCAGCCTCTGGTAGACTCTGAGTTCCTTGTTTTATTTATTCTGTGACTGTATTTGTATGCACCCTGGTGCCTAATAAGCTTCTGGCACATAGAGGGCATTAGACACATGCTTGCTGAGTAAACATGGAAGTGGCTGTGAAGCAAGTGGAGTCTAAGCGTACAAACTGAGCTGCCAGCCTTGGTGAGAAAGTAGGGCACTGTTTTCTCAGAGGCAGGAATGAAAGGAGAAGAAGGGCTAAGAAAGATATGTTTTTGGAGGACTGGAGTTAAGTTGGAGGACTCATTAAATGACTTCAGTCCTTTCAGTAATGTTGGATAAGGGGACGAAAAATTCCATGTCCAGGATTATGGCAAACTAGGTATTCTGAATCCCTGAAACCCTTTTGTGTAAACCATCGGAATACTGCATAACAAATCACAAGTTTCCTTTTAAATGCATAACTGAGATCAAAATAAAGTCCCTAAGCTTAAAACCTGCAGAGGAAACTGAAACTCAAGAGAGGAAAATTGAGAGTGGGGCTCTTCTAGGGAAATATGACCTGGATAATCCAGCAACTTGAGTTTTCATGGCTGCACAGGGACAGCATCAAAGCCCAGGACACAAGGAACCAGAAGAATGAGGAGCCAAAGCTGGGACCACTGAAGGGCTCCGTCCAGGCAGAGGGAGACCCAAGCGAACTGCTCTGCCTTGACCTAGGCTCTCAGCTCCCTTGAGAATGTATAGCCACAGGTTTCCTCTCCCAGGGTTTCAGATTCAAACTTATACTCCTTACCTTGTCCAAGAAACTACAAGCAGAGAAATTAGCTCAAGGTGGTCCCCACTGCTAGTGTTCCAAGGTCCTCTCTGGAGGGACACAGCTTCAACTCAGGTCCCATAGGATCCCCACTTGAGCTCACCATCCCACATTACAAAATACACAAAAGAACAAGCTGCCATGAAACACAGTCTTCAGAAAGAACCCATGGCAGAGTAAGACCTCAAGAACTTCAGACAATATAACTATCAGCTCTAGAAATAAAAGAAGGTTCAAGTTGTGTGAATAAATGAAAGAGTGAATCAAAAATAAAGAAAAAAGATACTTTTAGACATAGAATTATTAAGTAAATAAATGGAATTTCTACAACAAAAAATATACAGTCATTGAAATTAAAAACTCAAGAACAGGTAAAGTACAGAATAGCTGCACAGAAAATCAGTGAACTCAGGCAGGAAGGTTTGAGGGTAGAGGTTTGAGGAGAGGGGAGAGACCTGTGGCTGGAGCTAAGAGCCATGAGAGGGAGCATGGGAGAAACTAATAAAGGATTATCAAGCAGCAATGAAGAGGATAAAAAATACAGAAACTCAGGCGGAATATTTTATATCAACATTTTTAAAAATCTTTACTGGTGCTTGCAGCTTGGTAAGTTGGAGAAGAGAAGATGGGTAATAGGACTTAGTAGATAGTAACAAAGTCAACGCCTTCAGGAGCAGGGTTTCTCAACCTCAGCACTTGTTCTAAAGGGCCTGGGACTTGATTTAATCAGGCATGGCAAGACACGCAGGCATAGTGGTGACTATCATAAGGAAGACATGTCTCCTCGCAGATCCCTAGAACAGGAGGCATGGCACATCACACAGAGCCTCACAGGGAAGCATGGGGATAGGCCAGGAGGCAGAGACATTGAACAGGAGACATGGGCAAGAGGCTTGATGTGTTTTCATTGGGAAGGAACAGATGAGGCAGGATAAGCAGGCTTGGGATTGGCCAGTTTAAACCATTGCAGCAGGCTCTCGGGCACAGGGGCTGGGCCTAGTGGTCTGGTATCTGACACTGGGGTGGTCAGGGCAGGTGAATAGTGACCTAGTATGTAAGAGCCCAACAATGGAGGTATTGGGGGTGTAGGCTCTGGGGTGTTATAAGCAGTTCCTCCAGAGTCAGCAAAGCCCCAAGATATTAAAGCATCAGAATACAGAATATAAAAGATAAAATTAATACAGCACTCCTGACATTTGGAGCAGATTTTTCTTTCTTGTCAGTGGAGCAAGGAGACTCTTCTATGTATTGTAAAATGTTGAACAGCATCCTTGGCCCCTACATAGATGCCAGTAGCACCACCACTCCAAGTTGTAAAACCAAGAATGTCTCCAGACTTTGCCAAATGTCCCCTAGCGGACAAAATCATCCCATCATTCCCAGTTGAGAACCACTTAAAAGTGAAACAAAAAAAAGCACAGCATTGAAACAACTGATCATAGATCTGAGATGGGTAATCAAGAGGTCCATTTGGGATTGATGCTGTTAAAAGTTCGAATTTGGTAAAATGAAAAGTTGGGAGGGTGGAGGGATCTGAAGTTGTGGTCCAAGCGGAACCGGAAGGGATGATTGTAGGGGCAGAGCTGAAATACTTAGAGATGGAAATCATTCAAGCTGAGGAGACCAGGAGAAAAATAGGAGCTATTTTCTTGCTCTGTGGCTCAAACTCTTAAACAAGAAGCTTCTGTGCATCTTTGGGTGGGTACTCGAGGGGTCATCAGTTTTGGTTGATACTGCTGGAAGTCTCCTATTCACGTGGCAGGTCATAGTTTATAGAGAAAGATTTTCCTCCTGATACCAAAGGGGAAATCAGGTAATCTAACCACCAATCCCTAATCGATAAGCTAGTTAAAACGACTGAGTTTGTAGTAGAGAGCAGACTTGGCAACAAAGCAGAGACAGGAAGAGGAGAGAGGTCACGAGGCCAAGTTGTAGGGCCAGCACTGCAGACCTGAGCCAGAGTGCACAGCCACCCTCACGACGGCTCCACCTAAGGAAACTCCGTGAAAGTCCACTTTTTATACCACCTTTTACCCACCTCTTTTCTTACCCCAAAGTTCCTTTATGTAGCTCGAAATGCCAAAGACTGTATGGTTTCCTACTACCATTTCCAAAGGATGAACCACAAGCTTCCCGACCCTGGTACCTGGGAAGAGTATTTTGAAACCTTCATCAATGGAAAAGGTACAGAACATCCTTCACACCCTTGCATTCTCACTCCAGCTAGGCTGAGTCTAGGGAACTACAGGTAGCATTTTATTCCCTAGAAAGCCTGTGCCTCGGCAAATGTATCTTACCATAGACTGGGACTGGGCAGAGTCGGCTGGCCACTTTCTGAGTGTAGGCCCACAGCCCTCAGCATTTTCCACCTGATTTAAAACCTTTAAGTAGGGCCACCCTCCTTCCAAAGGGTGTCCTTGTCCCTATGTGATTGCACATAATAGACAGGAAGCCACTTTAGGGAGGATGTTGGAGCAAGTAACCCCAAGGCTGTCCCCATCCACATCATCCTCAAAATCAAACAGATCACAACCCTTAGGATATATCTAACCCAGAATTTGGGTTTCCTCTCTCTAACTCAATCCCTAATACTCAGCAGGTTTTATACTATGCCTATGTAGACCATTCTGTTTCCTGTGTCTGTTTCAGTGGTTTGGGGTTCCTGGTTTGACCATGTGAAAGGATGGTGGGAGATGAAGGACAGATACCAGATTCTCTTCCTCTTCTATGAGGACATAAAGAGGGTGAGTGAAGGCTCTGCAGAAGAACCATTTTAAAGTGGTTCTTCAGGTGCAGAGACATTCAAAGTTGTTTCAAATGACATCCCAGAGAATTGTAGTATTTGTTTCTAATACACTCATCCATTCAAGTCCAATGTTACCCTTGCCACAGGACCCAAAGCATGAAATTCAGAAAGTGATGAAGTTCATGGGAAAGAACTTGGATGAAACAGTGCTAGATAAAATTGTCCAGGAGACGTCATTTGAAAAAATGAAAGAAAATCCCATGACAAATCGTTCTACAGTTTCCAAATCCATCATGGACCAGTCCATTTCCCCCTTCATGAGGAAAGGTGTGTGGGGCCTCTTTATCAAACACTCAGATTGTCTTGTAACATTGTCTCTGCCTGCCTCTTAGCAGACAATATTGGGTTTTATTAATTCCAAGACAATGCACTTCAACTATTCCTAATATGTGTTTCTAATAAAACCAAGGATTTGATGTTGTAGAAGAGAGCTTTCTAGGGTCTTGCTCCAGTATTTGGTTGCAAGGGACAGAGTCCCTCAAGCTAGCCCCAGTGAAAGGAGCTTACTGTGAGGATTCACACTGGACAATAAAGGAAATACAATCACACAGAAAACTAGGAAGAGGAACCACCACTGCTCCAGACCTCCCGAAGGCCCCTGAATTGCAGGGTCCAGGACTCAGCAGCAGGAGGGATGGGTCTTTGCTCCAAGGCTCCACCATTTACAGGACTCGGCTGCTTTTCATATATCTATTAGGCATGGACTCCTCTGCTGACCAGCTTTCCATCTCTCCACCCATTACACTTTTCTCCTAATTTATAACTTCTCATGACTCAGTTTCTGCCCATAACTTGGTCTTGACCTTGGCCGAAACCTGCTCTACTTCGTGAGTTTCAGTTACAACTACCGTTGAGAACTGCCTCATCCTCAGTTTTTCTTTGTTCCAATTCCTGAAAGAGAAATTCTAATTGGCCCATCTAATATTTTTTAAGAAATCCTTTATCCCTTTGTAATTTAAAAAGCATAACATGTCATTGTTAAATATTAAACTGGGCCGGGCAGATTGGCTCACGTCCATAATCCCACATCTTGGAAGACTGAGGCATGAGGATTGGTTGAGGCTAGAAGTTCAAAGATAGCCTGGGCAAAATAGCAAGACCCTACCTCTACAAAAATATTATTTAGGAGGGTGTGGTGTTGCATGACTGCAGTCCCACCTTCTCAGAAGGCTGAGGCGGGAGTATCACTTGATCCCAGGAGTTTGAGAATGCAGTGAGCTAGGACTTTGCCACTGTACTCCAGCCTGAAAAACAGAACAAGACACTAGCTCTTTTTAAAAAATAAATTCAATCAATATAAAATATATTTTTAAAGGTCTCTCCACCAAAACTCCACCCATAATAAGTAACTACCCACAGTATGGAAGTCCCTTTCTCTCTCATTTATAACATATACATTTTTATTCACAATAGTGAAATCATGATATACACATTGCTTTGAAATTCTTTTCTTCTTCCTCTTTCATTTTGCATGTGCTTGAATTTATGCTCTTGCATTTTCCAATCTACAACAGTATTCCATACCAATGAAACAAACCAAAAAATTCTACCCCTTTTCTCTTTGGATAATCAGTGGTAATGATTTGTAAAGATGCCCTTCTTCAGGCTCATACATAACCATCTTTCTATACACCCTCCTTCTTCAGATTCATACAGACACAAAGATATGTAACCATAATGAAAGCTTGCTCCCTAAAATGCAGAATGGGGTCATATTTTGTGCCTTTACTTACCAGGATATGAAACACCCCTCCAGGGCAAGGCATATAGACTCATATACCTCACTGATTTTTGTGGTCCCATGTTATACCAAGCTAAAGATACATCGTAACTCATCCAACTATTCCCCTAATGATAGACACTATACTTATTGTTTTCAATGTTTGTTTTTCTGCATAATGTTACAGTAAATACCTTTGTGCATAAATTATTATTTCCTGATGGTTTTACTTCTGTTGCATAATTTTCTGGGAAAGTCATTGGTGGGGAAAAGAGTATTTCCCCTGTTTAAAATTAGTTTAAGTTGTTGCTTGGTGAGAAAATAGTATCTCATTCATATTTTTCCAAAATTGTTTTTTATTGAGATGTAATCAACATACTAAAAATGCACAGAACTTAAGTATGCAGTTCAACCCATTTTGACAAATGTATGTACCCACACTACCAGCACCCCAATCAAGATATGAAACATTTTCATCACCCCAGAAAGTTCCCTCTGATGCCCCTTTTCAGTCAATGAGGCATGAGAGGGAACTTTCTGGGGTGGAAAAGTTCTGAGGGAACTTTCCAGGGACAACCATTTTTTCCAATTTCTATTACTCTAGATTGATTTTACCTGTTGCCGGACTTCACATAAATGTAATCTCACAGTATTTACTTTCTTGTGTCTGGTGTATTGTGCTGAACATAAGGTTTTGGGATTCCTCCATGTTGTTGTGTGTCTGTAGTTTATTCTTCTTTTATGTCTATGTAGTAATCCATCATGTAAATATGCTACAGGTGGGGCCAGGTCATGCAGGCCACTAGCTGCCTTGGGTCAGTTGTCCAGCTGACTTAGAAGTCCATCCTCCTGCACAGAACCCCCTAGGACTGCTTTTTAGACCAGAGCTGCTCAGGGACAGGTGTCCACTGAAGGAGGAGTTGGATGAGTCAGGCATATGGACAGGCCAGATTCAGTATGAGCACTACACCACTTTACTCAGGGACACTATATCTTTCAATCATAAAGTTACACTCCTGTCTGGCCTTCCTTTTTCTAGGAACTGTGGGGGATTGGAAAAACCACTTCACTGTTGCCCAGAATGAGAGGTTTGATGAAATCTATAGAAAAAAGATGGAAGGAACCTCCATAAACTTCTGCATGGAACTCTGAGCAAGATATAAATAAAATTAAAAGGTGGATGGCAAGAGTGCAAATACTATCTTCAATTCTTCAGTCCCAGCCAGAAGAATCTCTGAAAGCCTACTGTGAATGTATATGATGTGGTACAAACTATGTCTATGATGATTAACACTATGTCACCACTTCACTTTTAAAAAAGGATCACGTCTAATGTCCATTTTCTCAACTATTCTTTCCAAAGTAAGAAATAAGATAGCTTAATAAACTAAGTAAAACATATGACTTGAATATTAAAAAGATTGTTTTAATCCCCATTATTCTAGAAAATGTGTCCTAGTCCAAATATTAGGTTATGTCTATATTAATAACAAAATTTCTGGCATCTGTCCTGGCCATTCAAGGAAATCCAGCCTGGGCTGAGTCCTGGAGTTCTGCCAGGTCTCAGGAACACTTTGAGGGCAACTGTGGTGCAGCCAGCCCTGAGGAAACATGGCCTGAGTGCTCTCACTGGCAAATGGGAATAAATGGAAGTGCACAGAAGAGGTGTCAGAAAACCAAAACCTGGTTAATCGTCCTAGTGCTAGGTCATGTAGAAAACAGAAAGCATGATGGTGGCCTTTTAGGAACCCAAGTTATATCCTGGTGAAAGCAGAAAGGAGAAGACAGGATGGCTGGCAACAGTGTCATCATGGGCATGGCTCTCAGGCGTGAAGGTAATTGGGTCTTGGCTTCAATGCTACCCGTTTGGGAAGCCCTAAACCAAGTGAGGTGTTATTTTCCCCCACTTCCCATGTTTGTCCCAGTTGCAGGCCTGTTGTTGTGCATTTACTTATCAATTTCTTATCTGTTCCTCTCACTCAATTGTTAATTCTTTGGGGTTCAGTCTCATGCAGTATTTACTCCTAGTACCTAATGCAGTGCCTGGCACACAATAAGTGCCCTTGAGAACTTGTTGAGGGAGTAAAAGAATGCATGGATAAATGACTACATCAAATGACAAATTCTCAACTTTGACACTTTTTTTTTAGTCCCAAACAGTGGCATTCTACAGCTTTGGGTAGTAAGAGCACTTCACCCTGGGAGCAGGCAATCAGAGGAAGCATAAAGCCAACTAAAATTCTGACTGTTTTTTGTTGGATTTTGGAAAGTATTCTTTTTTTTTAACAGGGACTCACTATGTTGCCCAGGCTGGTCTCAACTGACTGCTTTTTATTATCACCATACACTGGCAATTCCAAACAATGTCGATGTTAAAATACTTCTCCCTGAAAAAAAGAAAAAAACTCCTCTTGTCCTAAGTTCTAAATAATAGCTAGGTTACTACTGAGTTTTAACTATATGCATGTGAGCTTCAAATAAGCATCTTTTTATTATGTAAATAAATAAAAGTGATCTGCATCCCCACTATATTGTAAATTTTTGTTGTTTGGTTTCATGTCTTATTCACCTTTGTACGGAAATTAATTCAGAAACCCCAGGCATAGAACCTACCTTTATAATTGCAACAGGTAGATGTAGCTCTGCCTGCTTCCTTCCAAGGTTAAGTTCATAACAGTTCAGAATCCTTCAAGCTCACTTCAGGTATAACCTGTGTCTCCAACCCTGCAGTATTTGGATATTGCTGTTTAAACAGTAGATTTGCCATAGGTGATGATGGCACAATGATTGTAAAGGAAAAGAAGCAGAACACCTGAGTTTGTGCAATACTCTTATTCTCTGAAATGACTTGGGGTTTTCAGTTGTATCCAAAATATAAAACAGTAAAATTTCAGAGTGTGAACAGCAACATTTACATCCTTGTTTAGTAAGTACAAAGTTGTGTTCATACAGGAAGTTCACAGACTTTGAATAACTTTAAAAATGAAATTTACTCTTTTCTAAGTGTTAATTATTTGTTTTAAAATTTAAGAATGAATCAAGAAAATAAGACATTACACCAGTGGTATAATTTAGTAATTATCTGACTTGTACTTTTTGTAGACATTTTAATTTTATTAAATTGGCATTCTGATTTTTTTACTGGCATGAGTCTATACACAAGGTTGAACAAAAGAAAAGTTTCACTGACTACATTTCTTTACTATATTATTATTTGTCTCTATGTATGACTAACACTGAAAATAATTTTGCTGTTTAAGGAAGTAATGGTTTGGCTGTGTCCCCACCCAAATTTTATCTTGAATCGTAGCTCCTATATTTCCCACATATTATGGGACGGACCCCATGAGAGATAATTGAATCATTGAGGTGGTTTTCCCCATACTGTTCTCATGGTAGTGAATAAGATCTAATGATTTTACAAGGATTTTCCTTTTTCCCTTGACTTTCATTCTCTTTTGTCTGCCACCATGTAAGATGTGCCTTTTCACTTTCTGCCATGATTGTGAGGCCTCCCCAGCCTTGTGAAACTGTGAGTCTACTAAACCTCTTTTTCTTTATAATTTACTCAGTCTTGGGTATATCTTCATCAGCACTGTGAAAATAGACTAATACGGTAAATTGGCACTGGTGGAGTGGGGCACTGCCATAAAGATACCCAAAAATGTGGAAGTGACTTTGGAACTGGGTAACATGCAGAGGTTGGAACAGTTTGGAGGGCTCAGAGGAAGACAGGAAAATGTGGGAAAGTTTGGAACTTCCTAGAGACTTGTTGAATGGCTTTGACCAAAGTGCAGTGTTTTGGGGGTAAGTGGTGGGAGATAACTGAATCATGGGGGCAGTTTCCCCTGTATTATTCTCATGGTAGTGAATAAGTCTCACAAGATCTGATGAGTATATGAAGGGTTTCCTTTTTCACTTGGCTCTCATTTTCTGCTTCCATGTAAGACATGCCTTTCACCTTCCACCATGCTTGTGAGGCCTCCCCAGCCATGTGGAAATGTAAGTCCATTAAACCTCTTTTCTTTATAATTTACCCAGTCTTGGGTATGTCTTTATCAGCAGCATGAAAACTGACTAATACAAAGATAGTAAAAATAATAATAATAATTCACCCCACGGTTAGCAATGATCTCAAATACTAAACTGCATTCTGATTTTTAATTGGTTGGTTGGTGGTTGGTTGATTGATTGGTCTGTTCATGGAAAAAATATTCAATGACACTTATTAAAGCACAGTAGGGCAGATTTTAGTCAGGACCATCTTCACACGTGTAGGGACCATGGCAATGGGGTCTTGCAGTAGAAGATATTGTGTTCAACTCTTAATACAATATGGGCAAGTAGGAATTTATAGCCATGTAGTAGAGTGAAGAAGGAGGGATAGAAAATTACTAAGAGGAAACATCATGGGTAAGGGAAGGGATGGATTCTAGCTACAGTGATCCAACAGGATTGTTGCTAAAGATAGGCCAGGGTGATTAGATATTACCTGGGCAATGGGGGAGGATGAAGAACCTGATCAGATTTTGAGGTTAGCGAGTTCCTACTAAATTGACTTAATAGCTTTCTTGCAAAAACTGGATTTTTTTCAAGAAGGTACACAGAGGGGTATAGGAGATATATTAGGAGACTGACTAAAGTTTGGTCAAGCAAATAGTCTCTCATTTGGTTTAAATTCTTTCTGCTTCCTTTTCCTTCACTAGCTAGGACCTAAACCTGCCTACTTTGAAGTTTAGTATTTCAAAGAGCTTTGAAGTTTAATGCTGTGAGATTACATGGGACTATGAGTTTTTTTAAACATCAACAAATCACCTTTAAATTCAGCTTCCAACGACCAGTGGAAACTATATGGCAACGGGAACATGTAGAATCAAGGTCAAGAATGAAAAGCCACCAGTAAAGCACAGTTTTGCAACTCAACCAGTTGCCCACAATTTAAGCAAGAAGGGATCAATCAAACAAGAACAGAGATGCAAGAAATAGAACCAGTTCCAGGAAATTCAGTATTTAAGCTAAGATGCATAGGGCCCTAGCACACCCTGTCCCCCTATATGCGTGCACCATATGTATGCACCAGCAGCTCAAAAGAAATAATTTTGTTTCTTTCCTCCTAAAGTTATAGCCATCCTTCATTTACTCATTTATTCATTCATTCATTCTCAATTGTACGCGTACTATGTGCCAGGTACTGTGTGAATAATGGGAATGCTCACAGTGGTGAGCAAAGTTCTTTCCCCTGTGGATTTTATGGTCTAGCATGTGAAGCAAAAGTCCACTAAGTCATGACACATGTCACCAATTGAGGAGAATGCCATGCGAGATGGTTTCAGGCTTTGAGAGGCCACAGCAGATCAGCTGGGACTGGGGACTGAGGCACAGCTTTCCTGACAGGACACGGTTCTTCCCAGATGTAAAGCATATGCTGGCTTTATCTAGGCAAGAGACAGAGACTGGGCAGAGAGAAGGAAACCCAGGAGCAGGCTTGGTGAGGGGGGCCTGTTTGAGGGCCAGGAGAAAGGGCTGTGAGGAGAAGAGCAGTAAGCTCAGGGAGAACCGGCAAAATAAAGTCCCAAAGAAAGGCGGGCATGTCACATGGAGCCTTAATGGTGATAGCAGAATGTTAGACTTTATCCTAGGAGCATCAGGAAGCCCCTGCAGGCTCCAAGAAAGATGGTGAAACATTGAGATTAGCATGTCAATATATCCATTGTGGCTGTGCCGTACACACAGTACGAGGGTGGGAGCCACACTGGTGCAGTTAAGAGGGCTGGGAAGTGTTCACGGGTATGGAGACTTTCAGGATTAAGGTAAGAGGTAGGAAGCTGGCCTCCCTCAGCCTCTCACACCTGGTTACAAAAGTAGGACATAGAATTTCAGGTTGACCAGAAGGTTACTCGTTCCTTATAAAAAAAAAAAAAAATTAAGACAGGGTCTCACTCTGTTGCCCAGGCTGGAGTGTAGTGTCACAATCGTGGCTAACTGCAGCCTCAACCTCCTGGGCTCAAGCAATCCGCCCACTTCAGTATCCTGAGGAGCTAGGACCACAGATGTGCACCATCACACTTTGCTAATTTTTATTTTTTACTTTTTGTAGAGACAGGATCTCACTATGTTGCCCCGGCTGGTCTATAACTCCTGGCATCAAACAATCCCCCTACCTTGGTTTCCCAAAGCACTGGGATTACAGGCATGAGCCACTGTGCCTGGTCTTTTTCATTTTAACTGCAGACACAGTTCTTTAGTATATAGTATGCTAAATACAACTGGAGATTCATGAGAAGAGAAAGAGCAATAGGAAAAGATTAGGGTGACCGAGCAGCAGGCAAACTAGGAGAGGTTGAGAGATCTCTCGAAAAAGAAAAATGTGGTCTGAGATATTTAACAGATTCTCTATCAGGACTGTTTCTCATATGCAGCAATATATCTGACCCAAATGGCACAATTTACTTAATGTCTTAATAATACAAAACTAGACTCGCCCAAACAGGTTACTGCAAGTCAGAGACCTCAGAGTTTAGGCCAATGCTGGTCAGGTTGTCAAGTGTTTGTGGTGAGTGACTCGTGTGGTATTCTCTGCTCTGTCTGTGGCAGGCCAGGTCTCATAAACAGCTGAACAGGCAGGCCTCCATAACAACTGTTTCAGCACTTAGTGGTTAAATATTAAAAGTTGAAAGAACCAGTGCCCTTATACAAAGGCTGGAATGTAACAAAAGCCCACAAAGAGTTTTGCATGGGCCTTTCCTGGGCCTTGAAGCATGAAAAACAATGAAGGAATCTTTAACAGGACCCAGGCCTCCACAAACAAGTTTTACTGGCGGTCTAAAGGAACTCCACAAACCTCCATGATTTAGCAGGAGACAAGATAATAGTAATCGCCCTGGCACCTGGACCCATCCAGATTAAGTAAATTTACTGAGACTCCAGAGGAAGGCCTTCAAAACTCAGATCTTAATTATAGATTAGAAGATGTTAATCATTTATGTCTTTAGATGAATGCACACTTACATGTAGACATATAGCTTAGAAGGTATACAAGCTCTGGAAAACTTTGTAATTTTGAGTTGGTCTGGCAATATTTTCCAGGCCTTCCCCCGGTACCCAGTTACAGAATTAAACTCTCTTCTTCCCTAGTTCATCTGCATCTCGTTATTGGGCCGTGAGAATAAGCAGCCTGATCCTCGGTTTGGTCTAGGAACATGCCTAGTCAAGGGCATAACTATGGGACAGAATAGAGGTTGGTCCATGGCCATTCAGCCCTGCCCTCTCCTGCATCTCTTCACCCAGCCACACCTTTCCCACTCCTTCTTCTCCCCCTCCCACTCAACAAAGGATGAGCTGGCCAATCATTTTGAAATGGAGAATACTAAAAGCACAGGGGAAATGCAGATAACTTCTAGCATTTCCTGTCCCCTCAAGAGAATACTTACATAGATTTTTCAACAAGAGAATACCATGGTCTAACTGTGTGAGGTATTAATGGAGGTTAATTTATAAAAAAGAAGGAGGAAAGCTGTACTTGCTTTCTCACCAGGGAACCCTATGGCCTGAGCCAGGTCTGAGTTCTGTGCTTAGGCTGCCTGGATCTAAACTAGGCGTTGTTAGCAGGGTGCTGCAGGAGCAAGACTGACCTCACCAACTGCATGGAAGCTGGGTGAGGCCCCTTGCTACTGGCTATCCCTTACTCCCCTGATGAATTCTACGCAAGGCAGAGACAGCCACACTCCCCTCTGAATCATAATCCCATTGGCCTGAGAACCACCCTGCATCCCCCAGTGGCCGTAGCAAGCCAGGCCCAAAAGCTCAGACCTGCCTCACCCTGCCCCATAAACACTGGGAAGCTTTATGATCCCACCCATTAGCTGAGAAACAAGAATACTTCCCCTGGTCAACTTAGAGCAAGCTTATATCCTGCTTCTTCTACTGCAGCACGTGCTGTCTTGCAAATTCCACCTCCTGGCTGGAAGCCATCCAACTGAGACCCTTACAGAAACACTTGGCAGAGAAACACTGCTCCCAGGAAGAAGAAAACAATAGCTAACACCACTGCCTGCAACACCCTGGTCCTGAGTCTGCCCACGTTATGACTTCACTGCTGGCATAACTAATATTTGAGAAAGTCAGCACACTAAGCTTATCTACAACCAAGTAATCTCAGAGTCTACGTCACTTCCCTGTCACTTGCTGGG